TACTTTGATGTCTCAGTTGTATAATGAAAACTCCAAAAACACAGAATAAAGCTGTTATAAAAAGATTGGACCTTAGGAAAAAAGTTGAGAAAATGGACCACACTTGGTGTGGTATCCACTGAAAGGATGATAATTAGGATCCCTAGGGAGGAAATTTTGTCCTGTTTGTCTCCTAACTTCTTTATAATTTATTAAAGAGGGCTTAACTCTAAATGCTGTTCACTTGGCTGGACTTAGTCTTAGAAAATAGCATCAGCATCTTTTATTAGGAACGAACAAAAAGTACTAAAATGGTATGCAAGATATTTAATTTTTATTATCCTGCTCAGATCCTCAACACCCCGATTCATGATTTTAATACACATGAAATATTTTTCAAGGAGTCAGTGTTTAAGGATTCTCATCAATTTCTTTTTTCACTTTTGCTTTCTGAATGTCTGACTACACTGAAAGCATCTATCTGCAGTTACCACATCTTACAAAATAAACTCTTTGTGAATTCATGGTGCTCACTGAGGAAAACATTGGTCGTGTTTCAACAAACAAATAAAAATTACCTCAAGGCAGCTTTTGTCTTTCTCTGTTATGCCTGTGGAGAAACTTGTTTGGTGAGGTCCATCTCACACAACTATTTCTAGGCATAAATATTATTTCTGTCTTTCTGTAACTATGAAGAATTAATACACTAAATTGTTTTATTCCCTTCAATTTCTCTTTCCCTCTGTTATGTCCACTTGATTATAAGCCGATGGGCAGATTTTGTACAGCGCCTCAGTGCTACAGTACCTAAGTGTTCTATAAAACCACAATATTCACTATGATTATACTTATTGAATGTAAGATGCTAAGAGGTTGATAAAGCCGGGCTAGCTGACATAGATCGTGATCCCCAGACTGCTTCTGGGTAGTACCATCTATAATAGCTTGAGCTTCATTGATTTTTAAAGAAATTGATGAGATTGTAGGGCTGAGTCTATAGATCCTCTTTAATGGCAATACCATAGTGACCAAAGAGTCCCCAGAGTTAAAATCCCCTTAAACTTGCATTGTGTTCTGTTGCCATATAATTCTATTCATATTATTAAAAGAAAAAGAAGAACTTTGCCTCCTAGAAAGCAAGCATGAGTAGCTAAATGTCCTTGAACAGGTGAAACTAGTACCTTGGCCAGTTTTGCATCAGTTTTGAGCTGGATTGGAACCACCAGAGAACTTTAGAAGCTTAAGAAACCTCTTTTTGTCAGCATGATATCTCCCTTATTAATCACCGTGTCTTCTGCCAGACTGTGTATTCGGTTTCAGATATTTAAAAGATACTTTGTCCGAAATCCTGTTACTTAACGTAGTAAACCACAGTAGAGTAGACCTACTGAATAAATGGGGATTTAGTGAGTTACCTCCTCTGTAGGACATTTGATTCAAATTGTTGTTTAGTCGTTAAGTCGTGTCTGACTCCTCGTGACCCCAGGCCCTCTTGTCTTCCACTGCCTCCCGGAGTTTGGTCAATTGATTCAAATAGGCCTGCTTAAACTGCAATTTACTTTAGCATGGTGAGTCACAATTAGACTAGTCCCCTTTGAATCAGTGGAACTCACAGGAGAGTTAACTCACTAAACCCCTATTGATTCAATGGGCCTACTCTAGTGCAATCTAGCACAGTAAGCAACAGGATTCTGGCTGTCGTCCGATTGCATGTTTTCACAGTGCATTGCTTTGAGTATTATTGTTTTGACAACTGGTTCCCAACCTTGAGTCCCCAGATGTTCTTGGACTAAAACTCCCAGAAGCCTTCGCCACTGGCTGTGCTGGCCAGGATTTCTGGGATGTGTAGTCCAAGAACATCTGGAGATCCAAGGTTGGGAACCACTGGCTTAGACAGAGGAAATAGAGGTAAGATAAATCAACACTGGAAGATTATTTCTGTGGGTGGAATAAAAACCAGATTCCATCCTACTACTAGAACTCTGTTGCCAGTAACTTCTTAGTAGTTTCACTACAAAATTCCACACAGCAGTAAGCAACAGTAGAACAGGAAGGACTTCCAGTAGTTGCACAAGTATACATTATTTAGTGCTACAACTGTGTTGAAAGCTTGATATGCGGCTAAGTCATGAAACTGCCACAAGGAGGAGGATCATATGAACCCTGGAAACAGTAGTGTACAGTACTCTGCCTTAGAAGATGCTAAGTTGGTAATCCTTGAGTGGCTAATGCTATCAAGCTAAATTAGGTTTGTTTCTTCTTAGAAGCAGAGCAGAATCTCTTTGCCACAAATCCCCTGCTTCAGCATTTGCTGCTAGAAAAGCTATTTTCTAAGAGTGTTAACAACTTAATCTTAACAGGTGGACAATATGAAGCTCACACAATGCATGTGTCCCCCACCCCAGGGCTGTTTTTTGTTTGAAAAATACAAACTTGCATGCTTCTCTTTTAACACAGGATGTCTGTGGGGAACATGCTCTTCTCTGTCATTAAGAGAGTTTTCCCCACACCTCAGGGTCTTTGAGACCACCCCTTGCTTCCTATGGCTGCCTCTGTTAAATTTCTTCCTCACTCTCTCTTTCTGTTTTCTGAAGATAGATGTGTGAAGATGCAGGTATAAACTATAAAAGTATATAAGTATACAGTACAAAACTGAGAAATAGCCTGTGTGGTTCCTTCCAAAAACTACAATGCAATAAATACAGAAGCAAATGATACCTTTATTGGACCACTGAAAAATCAAGTAGATTGCAAGCTTTTGATGGTAATATATCTATCTTCATCAAGCCATTTGTAAAGTTTCTTGGCACTCTCTAAGTGCTTTTTGAACACTTTGTAAAATAACAAAGCATGAACTGTAAGTAAAAGCTTTTTTGTTTTCTTTAAACAAGAACATCCATACTGCTCATTTTTTTCCTTTTTCAAAGGAAGGGCTGAGACTGGTCAGTTTCCAGTGCTTTTCTATGCTCTTTAAAAAAAAGGAATGATCAAATTCCAAATCTTTTTGCTGCCCCCTTTTGTTGCTACTGACAAAGAAACAGCACCACTGGTATTGCTGCAGCTGCTAACAAAACCACTTTGCCAAACATTTGCAGTAACACCATTGCTAAATGGGGGAGGGGGGAAGTATTAGGACTTTCCATGGGGGAAAGGAGGGAGCCAGCTCTGCTCTTTGCTGCTCTTGGGATCTCTGGCACCTTCCCACAGATCAGCCACAGTTGCAGCCACGATTTGGCAGTCCCAGTCAGCGATGTAGACTTCAGTGGCAGTAGTCCAACAGTAGTAGCAGAAACCTTTGTGGCAGTGTAGTTCCCTGTAAGTTCCAGGGAGTGCATTGCAGTCAACTAGCTCTGGGAAGTTCCCTGCTGATACCTTAATTCTAACAAATGCCAGGTTCACCAAGACATGGCATAATGGAGAGCTCACACTGCAGCACCGCATCTCAAAGAACTACCCTTAGCTGCTACTAGATTGGTAATGATACTGCTGTTCTTGTCTGGGACTACATATATTGGCATGTCAGTGCCAGTTTTGCCTGGGCAGAAGCACTGAGCTCAGTACTGGATAATAGGCACACAAAAACAGAGACAAACACAAACACACACCATCCTGCCTCTCCCCCCCTCTCCCAAGTTAATAATTATGTGATTTGGCTTGAAACACAGTGCATTATTTATTATTTATTTATTTATTTATTTATTTAAAGTATTTGTAAATCACCTTGAAAGGTGGCTTCCAGAATAAAATACGACTAGCAATAAAATTGTGTGTATTAATATGAACTAGTGAAGAAAGTTTTTAAAAAACTTTAAAAATACTTGCTTGCAGTAAATAATTTCAGCTACATTCATCAACACTGAAATAAAACCCATTACATGCAAACATTACTGAAAATTTTGTTGTTAAACGCTGTAAATCACCTTGAAAGGTGGCTTCCAGAATAAAATACGACTAGCAATAAAATTGTGTGTATTAATATGAACTAGTGAAGAAAGTTTTTAAAAAACTTTAAAAATACTTGCTTGCAGTAAATAATTTCAGCTACATTCATCAACACTGAAATAAAACCCATTACATGCAAACATTACTGAAAATTTTGTTGTTAAACGCTTTTCAAAAAAAGTCTGCAAAATGATGGATGTTTCCCCAGCTGGTTTCTGGGTTAATGCAGGAAAAGCCCCTACTAAATTTGATTATGGTGGCACTGTGGGTTAAACCGCAAAAGCCTTTGTGTGCTGCAAGGTCAGAAGACCAGCAGTCGTACGATCGAATCCACGCGACGGAGTGAGCTCCCATTGCTTGTCCCAGCTCCTGCCAACCTAGCAGTTTGAAAGCATTTAAAAATGTGAGTAGATAAATATCATGTTGGGAAGGAGATGGCATTCCGTGTCTAGTCGTGCTGGCCATGTGACCACGGAATCTGTCTTCAGACAAACGCTAGCTCTACGGCTTGGAGACGGGGATGAGCACTGTGCCCTAGAGTCGGACAAGACTGGACAAAATGTCAAGGGAATGTTTACCTTTACCTGTGTGCATTTTGCTCCATTACTTGCTTAAACCTGGAGGATCATAGGGAGAGTCTCCGTGGATAAATGATGCATTCCCCTGAAGAAAGTCATGTTCCATATATAGAAAGTGACAGAAATGTTGGCAGAGAAGGTAAGCCTGTCACATTTATCCGCTGTCCCCTTTTCTGCCCATTCACTTTCCTTTACCCTTGTTTGCAATGCCTAAACAAGGTTTTAGAATACAAAGGAAATGACACACAAATCATTCTGTCCCAAAGTGTAAAAGACAAGTGGAGAATTGAGTCTGCACTGTTAAACCTTTCTGTAGTCCTTATTGACCATTATGTGTGCCCATAAAGTATGGCTTCAAATAGTGGAGTTTTCCCACTCTAAATGTCTTTAAAAGGATGTTTTTAGTATGGGTTCATTTTGCCATGCATATACATGGTGATTTCCCACTCACCCACCCAACCAACATTATAACATGGGGTGGGTTTTGTTTTTTGTCTTCAGAGGTTTATACCAGGGATGGGAACTCCTATGGAGCGCCTTGTGAATTTCCCTTTCTGGTGAATAAGACATGGCATCATGACTGCATACACAGTGACACTGTCATGGGTGAAGAGTGGTGTTCTACAACCTCCAATTTTGATCAAGATGGAAGATGGGGTGTCTGCTTAAAACCAGGCAAGTAGCATTCCGAAAATGGCCTTTCTGAACAAGTATGACCTTAGTCTGTGTGTATTTTTTTTCTTTAATTGTGTTTCGTAGGCAGAAACTGGAAGGACAGAATTTCAGATTTACTAATAATTTTGTAATGAAATAATAAGTACTGTAGAAGTGAATTGTTTGCTTGTTTGTTTTTACCATGCCTTTCTCCTTAAAAGGGACCCAAGGTAGCTAACATCATTAAAAACATAATATTAAATGTGAAAAACATAAAATTATTCAAATATAAGAATTAATCATATTGTATTTAAAATGTTAGGTAAAAACATTGCTAAAAACAGTTTAGAAGCAACAAAATATTAAGGTTAAGAAGGACAGCTGTGGTAGTTCCAGTTTATGGTGTAAAACATTCTGAGGAAGAATTCTGTAACTATAACATGGTTAATATGGACCTGATCCATTTGGGCTGCTTGTGTCCCCATCTGCGTGACCACATGGAGAGCTCTTGTAAAGAGGATTGAAAGCTGCGCTGAGTTGCACACATATTTCCCCTTCCCTTCTGCAAACATTCTGGCATATTTGTAGACAATATAAAGGGGGTCAGGAAGGAGTGAAAGAACTCTCTATGCTACTTGCAATCTTCTCCTGATTTGATGGCACTTAAAGAAGAAGCATGGAAATGGCACCTAGCCTTGCTGTTCACTTGAAGCTCCTTGTGCTCGCATGCCCATGCTGTCATGCTGGGGAAAACAGCAGTGACAGGGAAACATAGACAGGTGAATCCCAGTGGGATTTCTCAGTGTATGCGTACTGCACCTAGATGTAATCCGTTTCTTAAATTATATATTTGCCTTTACCAGAGGATGGCTGTCAGAATACATGGGAGCATGATGCACAGTCTGGAAACTGCTACCAGTTAAATACGCTGGCTCTTGTATCCTGGGAAGAAGCCTATGTCTCCTGTCGGAGGCAAGGTGGAGATTTGCTGAGCATCAGCAGTGTATCTGAACTAAATGACATACAAGGTACGTACAGTTCTGCCTCTTCTGCATATTACAAGGCAGATATATTCTCTATAGTTTAGCTCTGAGTCCCTAGGGAAAGCTAGCAAGCTAGCAAATGAGAAATGGGGAATCTTGACAATAGGAGATACAAGCAAGCAAGGTATGTTCTTAGTGTTCTCTCCTTCCTTAGATGGTCTCTATATTTTTACTGTATGGTTCTGTGCTGGTTCTATATTGCATTTTGTGATGTACCTCAACAACCATTACTTCTTCAGCAGCAGGGGAATAAAGGCCCAAGGCTTTGAACCATAGCTCAAAGTAATTACTTTTACATAGAGGTGAAAATGCAAGGATCTTTGGAATGACAGTGGAAAAATAATGTTCTAGAACTAAGAAATAAAACTTGCTTGTCATGTTGTGAAAACTTCATGATGTCATTATGGTTTTTAAAAATAACCGCATCGGTAACATTGCAACACCATAAGCATAACACTGTTTACTTATAATGTAAGCTCTATGCAGATTCCATCATAAGCTCTCAGGGCTAAACTAAACCTGGAGATCCATGAACACGGACTCCTTTGAAATGCTTTTAAAATAAATAAATAAATGCTGGCATCTGAGGGAAAGGGAAAGTTCAGCTGGAAAAGGGATGCTTTCCCCTCCCATTAGCACTTTTCTGATATTTCTTCCTCTACTTCCGTTACCATTTCAATCCTTCACCCTCTCTTCTCTTACCATATTCTTAATGTAACACACACACACACACACACAAAAGAGAGTATTCCTGTTGTCCCACAGGAGAAAACATAACTGGACTATGATTTATACAGGGAAGGTAGCACAGGGAAACATTATAATGCCTCCTTATGATGACTTAATACTTCCTTTTCAAAAGCTGTTATCTCATAAAATATCACTACTAATTCAGGCTTCTTCAGTAGCTTACATATCCTGTCTGCAAAGTTCTATGCTTGGAATTCCATGCAGTTCTATGTTTTGCTTTATTTCAGGACTCATTGTTGCTCGGAAAATAGAGTGCTTGGCTGGCTTGGATGATTTTATTTCTCATGGTCTTCTTCATCCATACTAACTGGGTGATTGTGGCTCACCTCAATTCCCTATTTGCAAAATAAAGAATATAAAGGTGCCTTGATCTGTCTAATTCTGGAGCTCTCCAAGATATCACAACAGATCCATCTGCTCTGACTGGAAGCTGCTTTCCAAGCTCATAAACACTTAGGACTGTGTTTCCCAACCTTGAATAACTCATGTGTTCTTGGACTGCAATTCCCAGATGCTTTCACCACCAGCTGTGCTGGCCAGAATTTCTGGGAGTTGTGGTCCAAGGACATCTGGGTTATCCAGGGTTGGGAACCATTGATTTAGAGGTATTTCTCTGCCCTGCTGCCTAAGAATCATTTAGCTAAGACTCTTTTAGGACATCTGGGTTACCCAGGGTTGGGAACCATTGATTTAGAGGGATTTCTCTGCCCTGCTGTCTAAGAATCATTTAGCTAAGACTCTTTTAGGGGCTGATTTGAGATATTGTGCATCTAAAGCATATATGTTCTTCCATTGAGCAATGGGCAATTTCCTTTCATAGTATTTATAGATATTATGGTATAGCCCAGTGATGGTGAACCTTTTTGATCCCAAGTGCCCAAAACAACAACCATCCAGCGGGTGGCGGCAGCAGAAGCAGAAGTGGTGGTGGAAGGGCGAATCCCAGGCACAGAGGTGCCTCCAGACTCCACTCCGGATCCGCTTCCAGTCATGCCCAACTCCGCCACTGCCTGTAGCTCAGCCGTCCCTTTGCCACCAGCTGCTCCGGATCCTGGCCCGCCACCTGTCGGGGTTGCAACTGCCTCATCAGGTTTGGCTGCCAGGGTTAGTGATCCAGAAACTTACGGCTTCCATGCCCATGGAGAGGGCTCTGCGTGCCAGCTGTGGCACACGTGCCATAAGTTCGCCATCACTGGTATAGCCAATTGTAAAAATTGATCTGAAAAGAGGGTTGGGAGGTAGGAAAACAAGAAAGTAAAGTCAGCAAAATCTTGTATATCACTAATTAGAAGTCTCTGATTTTTATTTATTTATGTATGTGTTTGTTTATTTGTTTGTTTGTTTATTTATTTATTTATTTATTTATTTATTTATTTAATTTATATGCCGCCCACTCTACCCAGAGGTCTCTGGGCGGCTTTTATGGATTGATGACCTAGATCCTCTTCCTTATCAACACTCACGTAGCACAAAGTGTAACTTTCTGAAGAAAATTGCTCCAATTTAAGAAATCGTAAACATTATTTGTTATCTATCAAGTTTGATTCAACATGCAGGTGATAATATCTGCAGTGATTTCTTAACTTTGGACAATTTTCTTCTAAAAGTTGTGCCATTTGTGTACCTATGCAAGAGGATTTGGGCCACTGAATGTAGATTCCTATGTGAAGAGTCCTACAAATTTCTCAATTTCCCCCACTTTCTGCAGTTCATCTAGTCAACACAGTCAGTCAGCTTTCTGCAGAGCTATGCTGAAGTTTGATCTAAAGGGAATGCATAGATCCAAGCAGTCTGTGCGTAAGCCACATTGAGGCTGGATTAAGGGAGAGATTTGGATTTGCAGGTTGGCTTTATTTTCACTTGGGTGGTGCTTCTCCTGGATGTGTGTCTAAGCAAGTGAAATATGCTTCTTTTCAATCCATAAACCACACCAGCTGCTTTTCAGGAACAACTTTACAGGTTAAAACAAACCTAAAATTATATTTTATTGTTGTGACACTGTGTGATTTCTCTTTTGTAAGTAGAAATCTGAAACATGCAGGCTCCTGTTTTCTTCAGCTCTTATCTTTATTTATTTAATCTTCAAGGAAAACTGCAGTGTTTTTCACACAACTGAAATTATAATAATGATAAGAAGGGGAGTTATTAAGTCAAGGTGATTTGAAGATTTACATCTCTTTTGAAATTAGAAGTGATCTGTTTCAGCCATGGGGCTAAATTTGAGAAGAGTCTTGGAGGCCCACACGTCAACATTGGGCAGAGCAGCATGAAAACTTTTCCAGTTTTATGTAATTCTTACATTTTCCTCGCCAGTCAGGCAAAGCACTACTCAATTCTGTGCATGCTGTTTCAGAAAGAAGTCCCCAAATAACATCTTCCTAGGCTGCAATGAATATTTGGTTTAATGCAACACCTTCTTGGGATGCAAGCTAAATCCACATTTCCAGCTTTAAGTAGCCTCTTATCCACAATTGGGCGCAACAGAAGAATGCTTGTAGGTATACTGTATGTAAGAAGCAGGCGAGGGTTAAAGGCTTACTATCTCTGATTTAAAGGAAGGTAATGTCACTTATTAAGATCACCCAGAAAAAAAAGCTGTTTTTTTTTTAAATTATTTATTTGAATCAAGCTTACTGCTGATAGTTCTTTACATATTTTCCAACCGGTGGTGAAATCTGATCACTAGAGTATCTTACATTCACAAGTCAATATACTTGCCTGCAGCAGGTAGGGTATATATTGTAAAAAATAATCATTCTAAAGATAAATTAAGTTACTGATTAATTTAGAAAACAGTTCACAAAACCAGAGTTTAGAAATTTGACCATTTTCACTGCAGCTCATCCAACCCTGCATAAGACCTAGTAGCCATGTGAAGCTGCAGGGCAGTAGCCTAATAAGAACTGACAGTACATGTGCCTTTGGACATGTGATGTCAGGCAGAGAAACAGAAAGGATGGCTCAGTACTTTAAAAGAACCAAGAGCTACTTGTTGGATTGGGCAGAGCTACTTCCCTGGGACATGCATCCCCAAATTTGATTGGTAGGTAACTCAGCGTCTAGGAATTGAGAGAGCTGTTAACCAGAGAGCCCTAAGGTGCTGCTGTCAGCAGCTTCTATCCAACTTCATAAAATAGCAGGAGATTGTAGAATTTTTCTAGGACCAACAAGATTTAAAAACGGCAAGACTCTGCAAAACCTTGAACAAAATGGGGTGGGGTTCCAGCCAAAACCAGAAATAAATGGGCATGGACACTGGCTGCTCCTAACAGACCTCTGTTTGTGTGTATGTGTGTGTGCGTGCATGTGCACACAGCTTAGAGTGAATGTTGATGACCGCACAGGCATAATTGTATAAATCATGGCAGCAATTTGCTGCTAAACTAATTAGTTGCACCATGTGGCGCAAGTGGCATATGCAGTCAGTGGTAGCTCCAGAACTAATAATTAGCAGCAGTTCCATTGTTATAAACCTCAGAGAGTGGCCTTTGGTCGGATGGATGTTATAGAAATTAATTAATTAATACCAAGTATTATTTCTCCATATTTATAAATAACACATTTTAAACTCTGCTTTGAGGAGGGTTTTTTGAATATATATATGATATAGCTTTCAGAACAACTTATGTTAGCCTCAGATCTTTACAAAAAGCATGATAAGGGGCACTAGTTCTGATACCGCTATCTACAACTTTTTAAAAATTGAATTGAGTTGGCACTCCATTGTGCATTTAGCATATTGAGACAAAGAGGCACTGGCAGCATGTACAAAGTACCTTACGTTCACAAAACAATACCAGGTAGAAGGGGTTAAATCATGACACTTGTAGAATGACACTCAGCGAAGCACTCCTAAAAGCCCCCTAAAAATACTCAGGACTTTTTCACAAAATGTTGCCATTTGGATCCTAAAGAAGGGTATTCCAATGATAGAAGGACACTTGAAAAAATATATTTGGGTTTAGTGCCACTGATAATTTACAGCTATGAATTTATTCCCTGGAAATCTATCATATTGACATCAACTATTTCTGATACTCTAGCTAAAGATGGCATTCCAGGGACATTCTGGATTGGATTAAATCAACTGGATATATCAGGAGGCTGGCAGTGGTCAGATCATACCCCCTTGAGCTTCATTAACTGGAGTCCAGGTAACTGAATTTTACAGCTATGTTGAGTAATCCTAGGGACATGGTGGCGCTGTGGGCTAAAGTGTAATCCTAGGGACGTGGTGGGCAAAACCGCAGAAGCCTGTGCTGCAAGGTCAGAAGACCAACAGGCATAAGATCGAATCCACGTGACGGAGTGAGTGCCCGTCGCTTGCCCCAGTTCCCGCCAACCTAGCGGTTCGAAAGCATGCAAATGCGAGTAGATAAATAGGGACCACCTCGGTGGGAAGGTAACAGCGTTCCGTGTCTAAGTCGCACTGGCCATGTGACCACAGAAGATTGTCTTCGGACAAAATGCTGGCTCTATGGCTTGGAAACGGGGATGAGCACCGCCCCCTAGAGTCGAACACGACTGGTCAAAAATTGTCAAGGGGAACCTTTACCTTTACCTTTAGTGTAATCATAGAGGAGTGTTCTCAGAAGTCAACCTCACTTTGTTTGGTGATGCTTTTTCAGTTTAAAAAATGTGGCTAGGACCTATATTTAGGTCATTGCTAAATAAATGTTCATAAAACTCAGGCTAGATCCCTTTGATAAGAGTTCACAGTTTTGGAGCCCTTTTACAAAATTGGGCAAAACCAAGAACAATGATATATGTTCCATATTGTCCTTTCTAGTGCTTTAATTTTGTGGTCCCATGATTGTATAATGTTATGACTTTCTGCCTTAATAATCTAAGCCTTTATTCTTCAATAGAGATGCAAGATTCATCTCTCCTGGATATAACTGGATGTGCAGCCATGCATGCTGACACAGGTGATTGGAAGAGTTACCCTTGTACGACTGGTCTTCCTTATGTCTGCAAGAAACAGATCAATAATACCAAACTAGACTTTCCAGGTAAATCAGAATTGCATGGTAGATTTCATTTCCAAGAATTGAATTGTGCACCTAAATGTTGTAATATTTACAGATGCAGTTGCAGCAATATCTGTGGCTATTAAGAAGTAACCTTTTTCTTTAAGGAAAGTTAAAAACGGAATCCTATTTGAAAGGTAAACAGCATTAAAAATGCTCATATAGGCACTGAAACACATTTACATATATTTTCAGAGTAAATTATAATGAGATGGTAGGAAATATTAACCAGATGAGAAAAAATATTTGGTCAAAACAGGCTTTTTTCTCCAGTCACAGAATCAATGTTTTGGGAGTTTTTCACAATTACTGACAATGGGATGCCAGTTACCCCTTATTAGGAAACAGGTCCCACTATGTTCAGTGAAGTATGTTTTCTAATATGTTTGTATACCACGTGTATATTTATTTACTTACAGGGAATGCCTGCTACTGAGTTAAGTAAGTCTGTGTTTTGATTAAATGTGTTTAGGATTAGGCTACATGAATCCCTTCTGAGCTGGGATTAATTGTGTTAATGCAAAATAGAAAGCTGACACAAAGCATTTTAAAAATGGAGCATATATTCTTGTCAACATTGGTTTAAAACAGAGCATAGTGAATATGGAAATGCAAAAAAATTGCAAATGTGAAGGAGAAAAGAACATAATAGACCTATATCTTGGTTTATGAAAAGTACGTTTGTGTCATATGGGATACAGGGGTAGGGATTTCCTATTCTGCTATTAAGTGCAAATAAACAATTCAGTCCACATTTTTCAAGCTGCATTGCTCACTTGCCAAGCTGCCTTGTGACACGAACAAATGCAGAGAGGCAGGTGGGAACATAATGCTGATAAATTCCATAAACCTATACCTAGTGCCATGCTGGAATCCTGGCACTATCGTGGAGCTTGCTTGCCCTCCCCTTGCCCCACCCAGAAACCCATTCCTGGAGGTCCCTGAGCACTCTGAACCACGTGGGACCTGCAATAGAGAGCAGGATCGTGGTGACAGTTTAGTCGGCCTAAATACCACATTGGAACCTGACTAGGGTCTGAGGCTGCAATGCGTCTTGTACCAGTTGGTATCTTAATTTTGAAATGAATTCTCCAATTGTTTCATTTTTGTGTGCAAAAGCAGTAAGCAGGAAAATCTTTGGGGAATAGAGTCGTTTTTCTCTTCTGTCCATTTACACCAGAACTATCTACTCTTAACTAGTGGAACCACTCCTAGGCCACAGGCTTAGGTCTCTCCTGATTTTAACTGGAGATGCTGGAGTTGGAATAGGGTCCCTTCAGCATCCAGAGCACATTCTCTGCCCCTAAGGTCTGGTTAGTTCTTTTCCTGTTTTACGGTTGTTGTGTGTCAAAACTCCGGCTTTGTAGAAGTTGTGTTTCTTGTTTCACCACCACTCTGTGCGAATTGCCCAGAAGATTTATCCACCTGTTTTCTTTATTCTCAGGAGTCCAAAGCTACCTAGAGACTGAGTGTGGACTTGAGTGGAATCCTCACAATGGATTCTGCTATATGCTAATGAGTGGCACTGCTTCATGGAAAGATGCCTATCAGTCATGCAATGCAAGTAATAGTAGCCTCGTCAGCATACATTCCTTAGCAGATATTGAATTGGCTGTTACAAAACTTCACAATGGTAAGTTTGGCTAATCATGGCCATGAATTTCTTCTGCCCTTTTCAGTATGGGCACCTTTCCCAATTTGAGGCTGAATGATGTACAGTAGTAGAACTTGGCTTTAGATTAGGAATTGTTAATCTTCGGCCCATTGCAGGATATATTTTTTTCCTGGATGGAATCACAGCCTGAACAACTAAGATAAATTCATGATTCGGTCTGGACAGAGGACATTGTGTTGGTCTCATCCTATACATCTCATTATAATCATGACTTATCTTAGAATATTTCAATGCATTTTGAAAAGATGTTTGTGTTTAATTACACTGCTGGCATTTTGCTTGATTGGCTGCATTGCTTTTTAAATTGCTTGAATTTCTTCTGTTGAAATGTAGAAACAAGAGACAAAGTGTGGATGGGATTAATGAATGAAGACACTCCAGCTTTGTTTAAGTGGTCAGATGGTTCAAAAGTAGTGTTTACTTACTGGGAGAAGAATGAGCCCCAAATCCCTTCCAATAGCACTCCCAACTGTGTGGCTTATTCAGGAAAGGTAAGGAGCATCCCTATCCCTTTGACCTAATGTTATCATTGACTCCCCAAATGCTTCTTGTGAGCTTCAGGGAAAGGCACAAAGCAAGGGCATGGGGCCAAGCCCTCCAAACAGCAGTTCCCATTTGCCCTAGGCTACAAAAATCAGTGATGAGGAACTTCTGAAGCAGCAGTCAAAAGTTTAAAGGGCCACAGTGGCCCTGCTCTGGAATAAAGTTTATGAATGGCTTCATCATGCACAGACGGTTCATTCGTCTCATCGGTTTTGCTTGCAGAGAGAGAGATGAGAGGATATACTTCTCATATATGTACTTAATTCATTTATTTAAAATATTTTTACCCTGCCTTTCTCCTCAAAAAGGCCCCAAGACGGTTTATATCATTAAAAGACAACATTTAAATCTAAAAACAATATGTCTACCAATCCTTAAAAAGGATCAAACAAATGCCCCACTAAGGAATGGCAATCAAAAGCAGTACTAAAAACACATTCAAAGCAGTAAGGCACAATAATCTATTTAAAAGCCCCAATCGACAGCCATTCACTCAGGAAAGTTTGCCTAAAAAGAAAGGTCTTTGCCTATTTAAAAGTCCCACTCGACAGCCATTCACTCAGGAAAAGTTTGCCTAAAAAGAAAGGTCTTTGCCTGCTTGTGGAAGGACAGCAAACATGGGGCCGGCCTGGCCGCCTGTGGGAGGGAGTTCCAGAGTCTCATAAGGTTCTCTCCAGCGTTCCCATCAGAGGCACCTGTGAAGGTGGTGAGACTGGGAAAGGCCTCTCTTGATGATCTTAACACCCAAGCAGGTTCATAATGGGAAACATGGTCCTTGAGATTACAGCTTTAAATTTTTAGCAGTCTTCCAGTTCTGAAGCATAAGTAGAATTTTTAAGAATTGTCATTCATTGTGGCAAAGCCATAAACCTCACAGTAAGCAGAGAAGTGTTTTCTCTGCCTCTTTCAAAATGTGTTCTGAAAGGAATCTGACTCAGCTGATGTCATTTATCATTGCTGAATGATAAAACTTAGTATTAACAAAGTACTAAGCTTAAATAAAGCTAATTCAGAAACATAGCTTTCAAGATTTCTAAAAATATTGTGCTTTTTCCTCTTTCGGATAGATGGGTCGATGGAGTGTCCTCCCTTGTGAAGAACAGCTGAAATATGTGTGCATGAAAAAAGGAAAGGTCTTGGATAAACCAAAACCTGATAAAAAATGTTCTTCTGATGAGGTAAAGGCATAGTGAACGTTCCGTTTTAAATCAGTCTTAGAAGTCTTAGTCTCTGCATCCCACATTGTTGCCATTTGAAACTGGAGGACCAATAGATTTATGACAGAACCTGGCCTGCAGTTATGTGTAATTTTGACATCGAGGCTGAAATCTTGGCATAACTTTACATTATATAAGTGGGAAGGTATCACCATCCCGGAACAGTGATATCTAATTTAATTGAAAGCTTCCTAACCACCATCAACCCTTCAGATTCCAAGGCTCCCTAGGGCTCCCTTTTGACCTGGGGAAGACTTCGGGAGCCTTCAGGGCAGCAGGGAAGCCATTACAATCCAAAAATCACTTCTGGATTGCCACCGGGAACCTCAGTCTTGGGAGCCATTATCTTTGTGTATTAAAGGCTTCCTTCCTCTTTCTTGAAGGGGATTGGGAATAGGAGGCTTTCATTCAAATTAAATTATATAGACCTATGTATTCTTGCCTGAGTTGGAGACTAAACAGGGTAGAGTCTGTTGAGTGGTTGTATGAAAGGCCAACAGGAAAAAGGCAAGAGTCAAAATAGGCCTGGAATTGTGGTTATGATGTATTAACCATTCCGTTTACCCTTGAATAAAAATGTATTATTGTCTACACTAGGGGTGGATCAAGCATGGAGATTTTTGTTACAAGGTTGACAAGAACGAAGTATCATTTGGAAAAGTATGCAATCTTACTATAACAAACAGGTATTGTGTAGTGTTATATTTTATGTGGCTGAAATAGTTTATTGGTATACTGCAGGTGAGATAGATTGGCATAGTATACAATATTTCTCAAATGCATGGGTTTAAATATATATCTATATCTATCTATCTATCTATGTACAATATTTCTTAAACGCATGGGTTTAAAAATATATATATATCTATATCCTAGGGCAGTGTTCGCCAGCCTGGGGTTCATGACCTCAAAGGGTTCACAGGTCACCCTCGTAGGTGTTGCAGCCCTTGTCAAATAATTTCTTCATTGATCTTTTGGAGCAGGATATTAGAGTTGATCTGGATGTATGAGGAACAGTCCCTCTGGAGGAGAAAGAAGGCTGTACTTTCTGAGAAGGGATGACAGGGACTATTTTTTTCCAGTTTGAAAAAATGCCAGCAGAAAGATAGAATGGCTGCTGCTTCCACAAGAAAAGGACTTTAACTATGATATGTTACTTCCGGAGAGCCTAAAGAATGAGGGAAGGGAAAGGAAAAGGAAGAACCCCACGCACACACATATAATGTTTCCTTCCTCAGCAAAGTGGTTGAGAGGGTGGTGGCAGATCAGCTCCAGGCGCTCTTGGACGAAACCAATGCTCTGGACCCATTTCAGTCGGGCTTCAGGCCGCGCTATGGTACAGAGACGGCGCTGGTCGCACTGTTGGATGACCTGTTGAGGGAGGCCGATGGGGGCAACATGTCCTTGTTGGTCCTCCTCGACATCTCAGCTGCCTTTGATACCGTCGACCACGGTATCCTCCTGGGGAGGCTCTCCGAGTTGGGAGTCGGTGGCCTGGCACTCGCCTGGCTCCGCTCCTTCCTGGAGGACCGCCCCCAGAGAGTACAGCTTGGGGAGAGAGTCTCGGCCCCGTGGAATCTCAATTGTGGGGTTCCACAGGGGTCGATCATCTCCCCAATGCTGTTTAATATCTATATGAGGCCGCTGGGCGGGGTCATCAGGGGGCGTGGGGCATCGTGTCATCAGTACGCTGATGACACACAGCTCTACATCTCCTTTACACCAACTTCAGTGGATGCCGTCCGGTCCCTGCAGCGCTGCCTGGACACTGTACTGGAATGGATGCAGTCAAATGGACTGAGGCTGAACCCGGACAAGACGGAGGTCTTGAGGGTGGGCGGCCCTTCCGTCAGCGGCATAGGTGACTCCCTCTCCTTTGGAGGGACGACCCTTGCCGCAAAGAGTGAGGTCCGCAGCTTGGGAATACATCTGGACCCG